TATCCATATAAACCAGCTACACCAGTGAGATTCTATGAATAATTCCCCCTTTCACTTTTAAAGATGTCCCATTTTGGAAAATAAACTATAAAATGATGTATCATATGCATAAAAAGATTTTAAAGCAAACAAAATTAGGACAAAAAACATATAAATCATATGGCTGTGTGCCGTGGAGTTGGTTCTAACTCATAGTGAACCTGTACAGGGTTTCTGAGGCTGTAAATCTTTACGGAAGCTGAACGTCTCATCTTTCTCCCACAGAGCAGCTGGTAGTTTCGAACTGCTAACCTTGCGGTTTACAGCCCAACTCGTAATCACTACGCTACCAGAACTCCTTATAAATCATATGTTGTTGTTGTTAAGTGCCGTTGAGTCGGTCCGACCCATAGCGACCCTGTACAGGGTTTCCGAGGGTGTAAATCTTTACGGGAGTAGAAAGCCTCATCTTTCTATGTCAGCGTAAATTATCATTGGAGTCATCAAAGTAACCCATATAGTTTCAAGAATTGTACTTGCCACCATCAAATCTCTCTCATCCCGATAATATAGCTAGCAACAACAACAAAATAAACCACAGTCAAGTATATCGTACAGAATAAAGGAAAAGATTTTGCTCAAAACAATGTGTTCACTTTTTCCAACAAATAATTTTAGGACCCTTATAAATATTATGTAATTTAATGTTTCTAACAACTCTAACCTGACAGCATGATGATTTACACATTATATATGAAGATTAATAAGGTTGTATTTGGTACTGAAACTCATATAGCTTATAAGTGCAGAACTAAGAGTTGAACTGGTGTGGCACCACATGATAAGCACTCAACCTCAAGGTTGGTTTGAACTGCAAGGTCGGTGGTTCAAATGCACCAGCTGCTCCTCAGAAACCCTATACAGGGTCGCTATGAGTCGGAGCTGACTTCACAGCACTTAACAACAACAACAAGAGATGAACAGAGACAGTTACGTTCCCAAGGCATTGTTTTTAGCTTCCAAACTATTCTACCTTCATAAAGTTAACTTATACACATCCTGTAAAATATGAATCCTTTCTCTCATTGGCCACAAATGAAAATAATTCTCCAAATTCCATATCTTATTTGTATCATATCCATCTGACTATATAAAATAATCACATTTCAGTTTTAAATATGTTTATTTTATTAATAAATGTTCTTATTCATAATAAAAAATAAGGAAGAACAAAGAAGAAACATTTCAATTATGGTGTTGGTAAAGAGTACTGAATATACCATGGACTTCCAGCAGAATGAACAAATCTGTGATGGAAGAAGTACAGTGAGCATGCTCCTTAGATGCCAGGACTTGGCTTCACTCACGTACTTTGGCAATACTATTAGGAGGGCCCAGTGCCTAGAGAAGGACATCATGCTTGGTAAAGCATCAAAAAAGAGGAAGACCCTGAGCAAGATGGATAGACACAGTAGCTGCAACAATGGACTCAAACATAGGAATGATTGTGAGGATGTAGCAGGACTGGGCAGTGTTTTATTCTTTTGAACATAGGGTTGCTGCAAGTCAGAATGGACTCAACAGCACCTAACAACAACTGCCTACATGTGAAATCTTACGTAAGGTACTGAAGGGCCCCATGTCTGCTTCCTCACTTCAACATGAGGACGGAGACACTGGGCTTGCCTGGAGGAAGGAAGGAGTCAGTGAGTTAGCAAATCGGACATGTGCTGAGTGCTTGGTCAATACCAGCTTTGGTCACCATTATCATTCTGCACTATCCACAGTGACATGTGTCTGAGTATGTACCTGGGGGAAGGGCTGAAGGCCATGCAGGACCACCCCTGAGTGCTAACATCACCCACCCAGACCCAAGGGGACTCAGGGGAAATGCTCCACAAAGTCCTGGGGTGTCCCATCCCCTCAGCGTCTGCACCCCTTCCCATGCTGCAGCTATTTCACACAGACTCTGGAGAAATGCAAGGAAGCCATACATTTTGTGGAAACACACAACATGTGACCTAGGTACATATTTCGCCTTCACCCAAAAACTCAGTTGTGCAAAACTGTCAACTTGGCTTTCTCTTATCACTGAACTTGACTTCTATGTCCAGGCATTTTCCATCTGAATTCCCACCGTTTTCCCTGGTGCGTGAACTGGGGACTTGCTGGGACCCTGGCGTTCACAGAGTAGTCTTGGTCCTTCTCAATGGGAACCCTGAAGAGGCTCAGGGTGGTCTGAGGGTGGTGTCAGGACTGGGGTTGACAGGAGGTTGAAGGTGGTGCTCACAGGTGGTAAGGAGGGTGGGGGTGGCAGTGGGCTAGGGTTTGAGGAGGACTTCAGAAGTTAGGGGAGGTATGGACACACCTTTTAGCAGAAAACCGGATCTGCTCCTTAGGCCCACACCCTCCAGCTCTCCTGTGTCTCACAGCTGGGCAGGGTTCCCAGTCATTTGGGAACCCCGCCCAGACCTGAAATCTGTGGGTGTCTCTTATACACACAGTAGCAGCCTGGGACCCTATAGCCTAGGCACTCACCATTCAGGCTGAGACTGAGAAGAAAGAGAGCCTCTCCTTGGAGTGCGGAGGTAGAGGGGCTTGCAGGTCTGGGGCAGACTCTGGACTTGGGCTCTCCCTGCCTGTTGCCTCACTGTTAAAGTGGACATGACACACTTGGCCTTCCCTCCAGGACTGGTGGGGCTCAATGGAGTCATGACAGCAAAGATGAATCTTCTTCCCCCAACCCTGGGCCTGCTCTTGTCCCCACCCCTACCCCCGTTTCCTCCTCCCTTGCCCCATGTGGAGGCATCTCTGGGGTAGGAGATGGGGGCTGGGGACTAAATCTGGAATGAAACTCAACCATGGGGGAAAGGGTAATGAGGAAAATCCCAGAATTTTCTGCAAAGGTGAAATTGCCCCTTAATTGGCAGAAATTAGGAGTCATTTGTAAACTCCTCAGGGTCTTGGCAGTTTGCTTGTTTTTGGGGTGAGACAGGGCTTTAAGGTCCATGATCCCACAGATCCTCAAAACAACTTGGTACTGCATTTCCTGACGTTAGCTGACTGGGAGGGTTAGAGCTACACCCCAACTTGAAATTTTCCAAGATGCCAGGTTAGGGAGGAGCAACACTTGGGTTCCCAGGGCCACTATCATGCTCCTGACTTACGTGGCATTCCAAAAGCACCCAAAGATTTCCAGATATCCTTTTTGTCAGTACAACCTCCACTGAGGACCACTAGCTTAGGCAATGTGACCTTCAACCTGATCACCCCACCTCACCAAGCCCTAGAGGGGGCCGGTGTGAGAGAACCCAGAGGCTGGTTTGGGGAGAGGAGAGACCAAACTTTGGACCTGTCCTAACATGGTCCTCCAAGTAAGACCACCAGAGACCTCCTGGAGCAGAACAAAGTTGGGTTTAAGGCATCGAGGACAATACACATCATAGGATCTTCATGATAAGAGGGCTTACATATCCTTAGAAGCCAGAATGAGATTTCATCTCATGCATTTTGGACATTTTATCAGGAGGGACCAGTCCCTAGGTAAAGTGGAGGGACAAAGAAAAAGAGGAAGCCCTACAACCAGATGAATTGACATAGTGACTTCAAAAATATGCTCAAGTATAGCAACGATTGTTAGGTTGGCGCAGGACAGGTCCTGCATCCTTCTGTTGTACACAGGGTCACACTATGAGTCTGAAATGACTGGCACCTAACAATAGGATTCATTATACATTTGGGGTCGTGGTAAGTGATTTGGGGGAAGTTCAAGGAAACGAGACTTTACTCTGGATTTGGATGTTGTTGGGAAGTAGGAATACATTCTAGGGTTTATTGTTGTTTTTAAGTACCGCTGAGTCAGGTTCGATTCACAACAACCCTGTATAGGGTGTTTTTGAGGAGCAGCTGGTGGGTTTGAATCACCGACCTTGGGGTTAGCAGTTCAGTGTTTTGCCTACAGCTCCACATCAAGACTCCAAGGAAATGTTCATGTTGGTTTAGCATGCTGACTATCATCTAGAAGGTAGAATGGAAGGATGGGCCGGGAGTGGGATTGCAGGAGGGTGAAGGGGTGGAAAAACTGGGATTAGTAAAAAGCAGCAGTTCCTTCTTTTGGCCAGAAGGGGGAGATGTGTAGTCACATGTGTGATTGGATAAGTTTCATGTTTTCTCTGTGCCCAGACAGGATGATGGCATTTTTGTGTCATGACCCTTCTTGGTCATACTGTCAGGGTTCTGTGGAATCATTTATGGTCAACAGGAGATCACTGCTCCACCCCCACAGGCTCACCTGCCCACCATTCCAATTCCCCAGAGTGAAGAGATTGTAAAACAGGGTTCCTTTGCTGGGGACAGTATTGGGTTCAGTGTTTGAGTCTGACTCTGGGTGATCTACCCAAGCTCCTGAGAAATGGGGTTTCTCAATGTGGGACCCATGAACAGCCAACAAATGTGGGCAGAGGATTGTTTTCTTCATGGAGACATCGGTGGACTTGACGGTTCTAATAGTGGTCAGAGATGTGCTGACTCTGACCAAGTAAGTGACCAGCATACAGTGTCCACAGCAGCTCAGAGGAGTCCCAGCTGCTGAGATACCAGCCAGGGCTACCTGACTCCATCTAAAAGACGGAGCTTTCCTGGAGACTTAGAACCTAGTGCTTCTCCAGGGGACTGCTCTCTGTTCACAGACAGGGAACTAGCTATTGTACCAACATGTGCCATACTGATTTGGGTGTCAAGCCCTTCTTTCAGAAGTCCTGTCAGGTTGTAGAGCATGAAAACCCTGCAGCTACTTGGGCCACCCGAGCACCATCCTTTGAAGTCTTATGGCTCACTGGACATCAGTGTGTTCTCTCGACTGTCATCATAAATTCTCATTGTTTCCTTCTCCATGGCACACAGGACAAAGAGACAGATGAAGCCTCCATGTAGGTGGTCTAAATGGGTGTGAAGTGCTACCATTGTCCCGTCCCTTCCTTCAAGGTAACAGTGACCCTTTCATGTCAGCTGAGTGTCTTCCCCTAGTTGCCATGCAAAAATCCACCCAACGAGATCCAAATTCTGGTGTTGAGACCAGTAGGGGATGAGCCAGCCAAGGATGGGTGGGGTGGAGCCTCCAAAAAGGAGATGAAGTCAGGAGTTCTGGAGAGGGAGGGGCACAGACATCTGGAATGTCCTGACCCTGGGGTCCAGGGAGAGCGCAGCACCTCAGATTCCTAGAGGGTCTGGGAAGAGACTGGTATAGTGGCAGAATTGGGACCATGTCCTGGACTGAACTGCTGTGGGTAACAAAGTCCTGAGTGGAGGGAGAGTCTGAGCTAACACTGCAGAGACTTGTTCTGTGGTCTTGAAAGGGCAAAAAAGACTTTGGCGTTACAGACTAGGACATCCAATATCATCCTTTTTCAGTAAGGGGATTTGGGGCTAGTTACTGACAGTCCTTTTCCTGTAAGACAAGGATAATGACAGCTGACACCTAGGAAAGGTAGAGTCCCTGGGTGTCACTGGGCACTAGACTGCTAACCTTAAGGCTGAGGGTTGGCATCCACTCACAGGCATCTCAGAAGAAAGATCTGGTGATCTATTTCTAAAAAGTCAGACACTGAAAACTCTGGGGAGCACAGTTGTGCTCTGACACACATGGAGTTGCCGGGCATACTGGCACTGTTCTAGGAATCCTGTCAGGCACAGGGTCCTGGCTGGGGTGCACACTCAAAATGATGACCACCATTTTTGAAGGGAGGGAACCATTGTACCATTTCCAGGGGAAAAGGGCTCAAATCAGGAAATCCCCCTCGATAAGTTCCACAATTCCGACTGCTCGGGAATGTGACCAGAGCAGGATGGAATTACGTGTCTATGTCTGGCCTGAAGAAGATGCCATGAAGCTCAGTCTCACCAAGCATGGAAAACTAATCATAGCCTGTTCAGCTTCCCCCACTCACACCTTCCTGTTGTTCTAGAAACAGTTGAAGGGAGAGTGAAGAGGGCAGGGTCAGGGGGAGAAGCAACATGGGGACCTAAAGCTTGCCAAGGTCTCGTGGAAACATGAGACTGGATTATCCATGACACTAAAAACCAGTTAGGGTCAAATCGACGCTGATTTGTATGACACCGTGTGTGTCAGTGTAGAACTGTGCTCCACAGGGTTTTCAATGGCCGATCTTTCAGAAGTAGAATGCTAGGTCCTACTTCTGATGTACTTCTGGCTAGACTTAAACCGTCATCCCTTCAGCTAGCAACCAAACCCTACTGTTAACCTACAGAGACTATAACTTCATCTGTTTTAACAAGAAAACCAAAGCAAAAGGCATCCCCTCCCCAAAGGATCACAGCCATTCTCTCTGACTTGCAAAGAAATATCTAAGAAGTACCAGTGCGTGAGACGGCTTTATTGATTTGTTCTCTTCACCAAGGAAGACATTGATAATCTTTTTTTTTTTCTGCTTCTTAAATGGCATTTGAAATGTCTTCTGTCACTTAATATGAGAATGTGATCACTTAGCAAGTCACTTGCCTTTCTTATGTCAGCACTAGACTTGAGAGTTGTGATATCCTCACAAAAAATGCAGCTACTTGGGAATTATTTCTCAACTCATGAGGTCCAGGACCTGGTGGTGGCTCCACCCTCCTCAGAGAAACTGACCCCACTCCCTTGCATGGCCCAGGAATACTAAGAAAGGAGAGAACGCAGTTTTGCAGAAATAAAACATGACAGTATTGAATCAAGTCATCAGGAATGGAGAGCTGTCCTCATGCTGAGCAGGGCATCTTTATTCTTTAAGTCATTGCTTCCATAGGACGGTGAAGCCAGCAGCGGAAGTGCTTAGCAGGAACATGACAGCCCTCAGGGAATCGAGAGCAGGGATCCTGGAGGATGGGCTTCACATCCTATGGTGTCTGGTGCCATTGGGCACTGCTTCAAAATGTGCATTCTGGAAACAAACAGAAGGGTCACTGTGAGCAGGCTCGTCTCCTCCTGCCAGTTGCTGGTTTCCCAGGTTAAGACAGGTTCAAGGTCAATGTCTAGTCCCTGGGGAATCACCCCATTCATTCAGTGAATTAGATAGCAGGCTCCAGGTGGTGGGGGCAGAGGTAGACCAGGGTAAGGCCACAGTCATTGCTATGTCTCACTATCAGGACCCCAAGGGATGTCCAGGGACAGCCAGGGAAGAGGTAATTGGCCAACTGTCTCCTTGTCCCAAAGCTCCATTTTGAGCTCGTGCCCTGGTTTGCTGGAGTGGGGAGAGGCCTTAGGGCAGGCCTCCCTCACCAATGCTGTGGCCATGAGGTACACCTTGAAGGTGAGCTGGCATGTGGCATGCCAGATATCTTACAGCTGGCCTCAAGCCCTGGATGAGGTAGGTGGGCCCTGGCTAGCACCAGGGCAGCCATCTGTTGCTTGTACAAGTACACTCCCACCCAGGGAGGGGCTGCAAGTGATTGCCCAGCGCTCTGCTCCATGACCAACTGAGGGATGGAATTGGGAGCAGAGTGGAGGAGGGAGAGCATCCTCCAAGATAAGGGCAGTGAAAGGAATTGTGTCAGAGTGCACTGAGTAGCTGTACCTGGGGTTCTTTGTGCCCTAGACCAGAACCAGCTATATAGTGTGGGGGACCCAGAGCATCATAGTTTTTTTGTTAAATACTAAGAATTTCAAGATGACAACTGCAAAGCATTGTCTAAGTTCAGGCCCTTCTGAGTGTGGGGCCCTATATGAGCACACCACACCTGAGAAGCTGGCCAGGCACAGACACAAACTGGGCAGAGCATGGCGCAGGCAAGGACACTGGCCCCCAATAGTGATCTGTCACCCCAACATATGGCCCGATGCCTGGGGCTGGGGAGAGCTCCGGTCCAGAACTGCCTCCTGTCCATCACCGGACAACTGGAACAAGTCACAAGGGGCTCTAGGTTAAATTTTTTTTGCTTGAAATGGCCTCAGAAGCCAGTCCAGCTTTCTAAATCTACATATTTCTTGTTTCTCTTTGGAATTGTTTTTAAACTATTTCCATCAACGTAATGCCTTTGTTGTTGTCAGGTGCCATCGAGTTGGCTCTGTCTCATAGCAACCCCAGGTACAACAGAACAAAACACTGCCTGGTCCTGCCCCATCCTTGTGATCATTCTGTTTGAGCCCATTCTTGTAACTACTGTGTCAATATATCTCATTGGGAGTCTTCCTCTCTTTTTTTTCTGACCCTCTACTTTACCAAGCATGATGTCCTTCTCCAGGGACTGGACCTTTCTGACAATACTTGGAGCACACCTAACTTTGAGCACCCATTTTAAATGACTGCTTATGCATTTTACACAAACCCCTCTCAGTGAGGGAAGAAAAGGGGACACTTGCTGGCCACCAGCTGCCCTAGACTTGAAGTCTCTGAAATGATCAGTCATGGTGCTGGAGGTTCTCCTGAGGGTCTTGAGTCTTGCCTCAGGTCCTAGAAAGCAGGCGGCGGCCCTCGGGTGTGGCGCCATGTGGGGCAGACATGCTTGGAGCTCACCTGTTTCTTGGAGAGGCTTGAAGCACCACGGCACCTGGGAGATGCTGGAGTCAAAGCAACAGCCTCTGTTGTTGCACTGCTCTGGGGTGACCTCGGGGTAGCCGCAGTCCACCCTGTCCTTGGCAGGCACCGCACATTGGTTCGCCGCTGTCCCAGATAAAGCCCAGTCAGTGTCCGGAACACTTACAGGTGTAGGGTTACTTTACTTGTAACTTTCCACTTTCCTCCAAATCCAGCCCCCACTAGTCCTGAGTTTAAATGATTGGTGAAAACTTCTGTAACTCAACATGGTCTTTTCAAGTACATAAAACTAACCTGTTACCATCAAGTCCATTCTGTCTCATGAAGACACCACGTGTAACAGAGTAGACCTGTGCTCCATAGGGTTATCTTAGCTGTAATCTTTACGGGAGTAGTTAACTAGGTCTTTCTTCCACCGTACCACTGGGAAGTTAGTAGTGGAGCACAAACCATTTGCGCCACTCAGGGACCATGTAAATAGTTAAAGAGAAATGTGTTCAATGCTAACTAAACTCAGCAGCCTAAGTGACCCCAGTTGCTTGTTGCTTGTCTCTTTCTCACGGGGCATGTTCCATATCCCTTTGTCATGAAGTTAAATTTGGCCTGGGTACCTTCCAGCTGGCTGGGACCTGTATAAACCCAGGGTTCCCTGAACCCAGAAATAAAGCTCCCTTTCACTGTCTTATCAAACAAAACTTGCCCTGCTTTTTTTAATGATGAATTTTTAATTTACTCACTAGTATCATCATCATGTATGCTGAATACATGTATTCATACATCATGAATGCATCATGTATGCTGAATAGGAAAACAGAAATCATATGAAACCTCTTAAATCCTCATCTATTGATGCTAGCTCATAATTCCTTAGACTAGTGGTTCCCAAATTGGGTTTCACACTAAACCACTTGGGGATCTTTAACACTACTTCTGGGTAGCCTAAGCATTAGGATTTTGCAAAGCTTTCAAGGTGATTCTTAAATTTGGGACCACTGCTTTTGGTCCTACTTAATAGATAAAGCCACACCCGAATCTCATCAAACATGGGTTAAGGGAACAATCACATCTCGCACCTAGAGTTGAATGCAAGGGCTCAATTACAATTGTGTTTTTTCTGCTTATGCATGCATTGAAAACATTCTGAAAATAATCATTTTCTCTTGTCTTTCCTTTTGATTTTTAAATGTGTACAAAAGATGTCTGAAGATAATCAGAAACTTCTGGAGAAAGGTCTTGGAGTTGTAGGGAGTTATGAAGGCTGGCCTGAGGAGTATTTTCTGAGCCTTAGTTTCTTTGTCTGCCAAATGGGTAATAGATACTCTTTGTAAGGCCCTTGTGAGAAACTGTGTGCACTTAATTGATGGTCATTGTTAAATTAACATGGAAATGTGGCCATTTTTCTGTCTCTCAAGCCACAGATAGCCCCTTGAGACTGAAGTTTCTCTACAACCTTCTCTCTCGCTGTGTCCTCCCTGCCCACCAGTGACCCTCCTTTCACAAGCAGTACTCACACAGGCCGACAAACTCCCCAGCAGAGCTGGAAACCCCCAAGGCCAGGACCAGGGCCAGCAGCCAGACCACTCGGGCGTCCATGGTGTGACGCTCAGCAGACAGCAGGAGTCTGTGTGGAGACACCTTTATACCCCTGTGTTTGCACAGGTTCCAGAAGTGTTGGGGAGGGCTCCTCCCTCAGCCTCCAGCTCCGCCTGTTTTGCTCCTACACTGGGTTTTAAGTCTCCAGAAGGATAGAAGGATTTTCTGTCTTAGAGGGGAGAAGGTAGTTCCCACTCCTTTCTGCTGGGTTAGCACTCCTCTCTGGGGGAGCAACCACAAGGACTGTGTTGACTATAAGATCCGCCTGGACCAGGAAGAAATGATAAGGGCTCCACACATGGGGCTGGAGAATGCCATGGGTGCCGAGACATTCCAAATTCAACAAGAGTCTGGATCTTAAGGCCAAATCAGTCTTTGATGCTAAAAAGTAACAACTTCAGGCCTCCAAACTGGGCATGAGGAATTTCATTTCTCTCTCACAACACTTGGGAGGCAGAAATTCCTCTTCTTGATTTGTTTTGAGTTTTCCCACAAAATAAAAGTGCATTTTAATAAATACATTAAATATATTTATGTAATGGTTTAGGTTTTGTGACAACTTGATTGGGCTAGGTTCGTTATGGTTTGGCAGTTAAGAGATACTAATCTCTCATGATGAGATCTAACATGATCGCATGATGTGATTATCCCTGATATGATGTAATTATTCTATGTGTTATAAATCCTCACTTCTATGATGGTAACAAGGTCAGATGCAATCTACAGGATTAATTTGTATCTTTATGTGTGTGTGTGTGTGTGTGTGTGTAGGTACAGGGGAATGAGGATTAGGTTGTATATTGAGTCTATCTCATTTGAGTTAAAGAGATTAAAAAGGCAAGCAGGGTCTTTTTACTGCCAAGGTGCCTACTACCACCAAGTCAGGAGTAGAGTTCATACTTTCGACAATGAAGTACCTGCACTGTGAAGCTCCTAAATCCAAGGAAAGATGGCAATCCCAATACACATAGAGATCACCAAGGAATGTTGGGATTACAAATGCTTAAAGAAGACAAGGACATTTCCCCCAGAGTCGACAACGTGAGCAAGTCATCCCCCAAGAGCTGGGCACTTTGAATTGGGAGACTGTGAGACAATACATTTCTGCTTATTAAAGTCATTCACTGGTTGTATTTGTATTATAGCAGCACTAGAGAACTAAGACAAATTATTAAAACCAGTTTCACTGTATAACTCACGGCAACCTCATGTGTATCAGCATAGAACTGTGCTACAGAGTTTTCAGTGGATGGTTTCTCTGCAGTAGATTACCAGACCTTTCTTCCAAGAACCTCTGGGTAGACTTGAACCACCAGTCTTTCAGTTCACAACTGTGCATGTTAACCATTTTTACCACCCAGGGAATCTAAGATAAACTTACTAGATGCATTTTAACTAAAATACAATATGATGAGGCTTCAAAAAAAATCAGAATGCAAGATAATGGATTTTCTTTCAATGAACTTTAAAAAAACAACAAAAAACCCTCATACATCAATTTGGTTTAAAATCATTCACCCATACTAATGACCTCTTCTTCAGAGATATTCATAGGGACTTATATAAGTCCTCATAGAAAGATAAGCTTCTACCCTGATCAAGGTGAATTTTGGACCCAAATGGTACTTTGTGTTGAACAAAAATACATATCTTTCCCAAACTTGTCATGTTTTTGTCTTTTAAATTGAATACAGAAGGAGCGCTGGTCGTATAGTGATTAGGAGTCGGGCTGCTAATCTCATGGTCAGCAGTTTGAAACTACCAGCTGTCCCGCAGGAGAAAGATTAAGCTTTCTACTCCCGGAAATCCTATACAGCCTCGGAAATCCTATACAATGTTGCTATGAGTCAGAACCAACCCCAGAGCACACCACCACCGCCATATATGTATTGGAAACTGTTTCCTAACAACATGTCTATATGAGATAGGAAAAAGTATACTCATTTTCAAGAGGGAGAAAAGAAGGCTCAAAATCTAAAGTGCTTGCCAAAGTTTACTTTAGTAGACCTATTGTTGTTGTTAAGTGCCATGGAGTTGGTACCAACTCATAGCAGCCGTATGCACCACAGAACGAAACACTGTCTGGTCCTGCACCAGTCACACAATCTTTGCTATGCTTGAGCCCATTGCTGCTGTCTCAGTGCCAAGCCATCTCGTTGGGGTCTTCCTCTTTTTCACTAACCCTCCACTTTACCAAGCATGATATTCTTCTCCAGGAACTGGTCCCTCCTGACAATATGTCCAAAGTATGAGAGATGAAGTCTGGCTGTCCTTGGGATTCAATCCACTTGTGTCTTAACCCTTTCTGCTCACAACCCTGCACCTCCAGGGTGCTGGTGAAAAATAGTGATCAATCTCATTTCCAGGAAAATATGGAGCCCTGGTTATTCTTGTCTTCTCTGTGTTTCTCTGCTGGCTGGAGACTTATTATCTCTATATAGTAAAACTTCTGGAAGTGGGTGCCTGGGTAAGATGGAAATTTGTCGGAGAGAGAAAATAGAATATTTTCCTCTAATAGAGAGATAGAAAAGTAGTAAGATTGCACCCTCCCAAAGGCAGAAAGCTGGCAAGACTCAGAAAACAAAAGTCCTGTTTTGTTCAGGCATGTACAAATTTCACTGTATTCATTTACTCAGGCTTCTCAGTGACTCCCTAGGGCCCTTGCTTGAAATGTGCCCGCCCCCTCCCCCACCTCTAGGTTTCGGTACATCATCCTAGAACTGGCTTATCTGGCTGCTCCCACTTGGAGTCCTATTACATTGAAGGGGCATGGGAAAGGTCTGCATGGAATCTAGATTGTAACATGGTGGGACGTGGGATAGATCCTATCTCAAGCAGCCCTGGTGGACCCACATCTGCCCGGGCCTTCTATGAATCTGAACTGATCTGTGTCAACACTCACCACTTGGTTGGCCACTCTTTTTAAGATAAACTAGAGAAGAAAAGAAGAGCAATTTCTGCACTGTTTGGGGGCATTTTCTTGGAGGGAGTGGATCCAGGCTAAAGACTAATACAGACGTCATGTTATTCGAAAGAGCCTCATGAGGAAATTCTTGCCAGATCCCTGCCCCTCAATGGCCATGGAGTCCAGGAAAACATCAACACTCAGAAACAGGCATGTTTACAGCCCATGTTTTGTTATAGGGGGAGCAGGTGGGCAGAGTGTCCCTATGAGCACTGTCACCCACCCCCCTGCTTAGAATTACTTGGGGTGCCGGAATACCTGGCTCCGCAGCCAGGCAATTCAGAGTCTCTGAGAGGGAACCCAGTCTATGTGTAAGTGCCCATGGGTGCAGGAGGCCCAGGGTGGTACCAGCTGTTAAATGCTCAGCTGCTAACTGAAAAGTTGGGGGTCTGAGTTCCCCCAGACACATCTTAAAAGAAAGGTCTGGGGATTCACTTCTTAAAAATCAGTCATGAAACTCTGGGGCACAGTTCTGCTTTGACACACATGGGGTTTCCGTGAGTCAGAGTTGACTCCATGGAGATTGTTTTATTTTGTTTCTGTGAGTTCAGGGAAATGTCTGCGTATTCACTTCCTTGAGTTCCAGCATCAGAGACCTTTCCTTCCTGCTTTTCTGATGGCTCTCGAGTCCCAGAGATGAAGTGAAGTCAGAGTCAGACCTGGAGACCTGAGACTTCCAGGTCACTGTGTGGGTGACCCGAGATCAGAGGTCAGTATGTCCTTGTAGTAGTTCCCCAGCTGTGAGTACAGACTGTCCAGCAACCCAGCCATGAAAACCCTCTTGCCTTGGGCTTCAGTAACTGGTGTCTGGAGGAGAAAGTCTCCTGGAGGGGCTCAAGAATGCATGGTTATGGGCATATGTATGCGACAAGCATGGACTGAGTGTAGACTGCTCAGACCACATGCTCAGCCTGGGGTGCTGGGGCCCTTAGAATGCTAACTAGAGCCCCTGACCTCAGGGAGCTACTGCCCAGCCAAAGAAACTAAGCCTTAAAGTGTAGATTGGGATGCAATCTTTCAAGAGCCAGCAGAATTCTTCTATATACCAGGTTTCTCATAGGAGGTTAAATCTGAATTGGGTTTTGAAGTTCACCAGATAGATGAGGGTCATAGAGGATATTCCAGGCAAGGCAGTGCGCTACGACCTTGGCATTAAATCACCACCTACAGAAAATCTAGGCTCATATTTAGTCAATGGGGCACACCTAGGGTCACATACTCCATCTCATCTCGGTTCTCTAATACTGCCATTCTTGGTTGCACAAGTCAGAAGAGAGCCAGGTGGTGAATGAAGGTACAAAAAGTCAAGCTCATCAACAGCCCTGGGCTGGCCTGGCCCCACCCTCCACTTCCTGCTGACCAGCTGTAACATTGCTTTGCAGCTGTCATATGGTACCCCTCTGCCTTCTGCGTAGAATTTCCTTCTGCCTCCTGGAGAGAGACTTCCACACCCTTTGGAGTAATAGGAGCCTGAAGGTAGATGTTTTGGGAAAATCAATGCAGTAACTGGTGGAGGGTGCATGTATGGAAGGAGAAGAGCTATTCAAATATGTCTCATGCCAACTGTGGGAGGGGAGGTAGAAGACTGAGGTTTCAGTGAACTCAAGTGCAAGGGAATTGGCTCTCAGGTGCCCCTCATGGACCCTGGATCTCCTGCCCAAATGCTGAGTTAGTTCACATTGACCCCATATGGTGAAGACACACAACAGTGTCAGAGGAAAACAATATCCAGCTACAGGTATGTTTTGTGTTGTTATAGCCACTCATCTTGAAGCCAAACCCCTAAGTTCAAGGCTTCTCTAGGTTTAGAAGGATTATTGCATCAGCCCTCTGTGTCACTACAAGAAAAGGCTCCCAGCAGAGTGTCAGCTAATGACCAGGAAACCTATGGGAATAAGTCAGAAGTAAACATACTGACAGCCAGGCAGCAGATGTAGGGGTGCCCATCTTTGGACAAAGACTGGACAGGAAGTCCCATCAGGAGCCCTGAGTTCCAGACCCTCAGACAGGTGCACCTCCAAGAGGGAGCTCTTGA